TGCTTCAGTTGTTATTGGACCAGCCCCATAAAGTATCCCTTTAAGTTCTCCCCAATACCAGAAATCCATCGGATTGAGGTCAGGAGACCTTGCTGGCCATTTTCGAGGATCAGGAGCATTTCGACCGATCCAGCGATTTGGATAAAGTTCATTCAAATACTGAATGACGCCACTAAAATGTGTGGTGGTGCTCCGTCATGAAGAAACCAGAAATTCTGTCTCCGTTGTAATGGCATGTTGTCTAAGGTCTGTTCCAAAAGCTCTGGTAGGTTATTGGTTAGAAAGCTAAGGTATCCTCCTAACAACTTTGGGGGTAACTCGAAAGGGCCAATTACCTGATCGTCAAGAATACCCGCCCAAATATTTATTTTAAAACGTTTTTGGAAGTGACCTTCACGAATGGTATGAGGATTTTCTTGGAGCCACGTGCGAGTATTAAGGAAATTTAACGTCCCATCTCGCGTAAAAGTACGTTCGTCCGTCGCTAGAATGTTTTTACAAAAATCCGGATTTTCAATGTTTTTGAGCAAAACTCACTAACAGAATGTTACTCTGCGTGGATAGTCTTCTGGTAACAAGGCCTACACTCGTTGTACATGGTAGGGATAAGGCAAATTTTCCCGTAGGATTCTATGGACTACGGTATGCGATAGTCCTACACGGCGGCCTAATTGCCGAGTGCTGATATCTGCATTGATTTCCACGATACCCTGTCTATCACGAGTGCGAATATTAGTGGGCTGAACACTTCCTGTTTCTCGAAGTCTTTGGTGCACTTGCACAAATGTCCTTCTGTCTGGGTGTACCCGTAGGCGAAATTTGTCGCGATAAATTTGAGCTGCAAGATTTGAATTCTGACGAGCTTCACCGTAAACTAACGTGTCGGCGAACTCTTGATGCGAGGACATTGTAAATAAACACGACGACGTACGCGAACAATAACCCACTAAGTACTGTTACCGTTTGCGATCGATTGCCGGTTCGATAAGAGTTGTCATGTGTGTTTTAAGTATTTAATTTAATGATTTCGACCATGGGTCATATGATTTTTTTTACTTGTTCTCAACCCCCCCCCCCCCCCTATTACCCACTTCAATAGTGACTACCATAGTACCTTGACGTGTTCTATGTCATGACAAATGATCTACAGAACAAATAAAGATTATTATTATTATTATTATTAATAATATCTTACGATATCGGTACGTATTTCATGTTGCACTGACAGCCAGGTGGCGACAAAGCTCAAAAGACTCAGTCGAACTATAATAAAGGAGTCCCACCTACTTCCAGCATCAGTGGCGAAGTTTTGTTAAAACGCTTTGGAAGTCGAGGAAATAAAGTCGCGAGTGCAATAAAAATATTAAATCCTCCAGACGCTTCAGTGACACTGTCTTCGTCATTTTCCTGCAATCGTATCCATCGGTTCCTTCCTGATTCCCTCGATCATAAAATTTTACGGCTTGCCACATAAGTTTCCGTGATGGCGTGATTGGCGAGATTTATCTCGTTATTACAGATACTGATATGAGCATGGACGGCTTTGAAAATTTTCTTTGTTATACCGAAGCAGCCTGCTAAATACCGGGATACCGCGGCTGCCTTGAGGATGAGGAGGAGAAACTTTGTTAATCCGGCTTCTGAACTAGCTAAGGTTCGTAGACCTGGGAAGCAAAAGATGAAGAACAATTAAGACGGTGAATTTACGGAAAACTGAGAGAAATTGATCTCAGTTCCGTCCTGGACCTCATGAGAAACATCAAAGAATGTTGCGTCTGGTAGAGTAGAATGGGCTGCTCCACTCAGTTCGATAGTATGGTTTTAACTAAACTAGCATTGAGTTGTAACTTATGATAACTAGTTAGAGTTTAAATAAATTTATTCGTTAAAAAAATCCGATTAATGTTTTGTGTCAAGGCTTTCAGGACATACAGTAATGGACAAAAGTATAAAGACAAATTAATATTGTGCTGTATTTCTTTTTTAACTTGTTTTATTTATACACCAGCCTGTATACCTACATAATTCGTCATAGCATAATACTTATACATAAATGAATTCATTAGACTCCCCTCAATAAAACTTTTATTGAAAAGAACTGGAACTATGAAGGACAATAATATATAGACAAAGCAAAACAATTATAGAGAAAACAAGCAAAGTTCATTGAATTATAGAAAACCAATAATTTTTGTGTTAATATTTTGTAGCATAACCATTATTATCAATCACCGTCTGGCATCGTCTCGGCATAGATTGTAGAAGTTTCCTGATGTAAGATTCATCAATCTGTCTCCACTTTTGCTCTAAAGCAGCAAAAAGTTCATCCTTGTTTGAATAATTTTCATCTCGTATTTGCTTATCTAGGTATTCCCATAGATTTTCAATGGGGTTTATATCGGGAGACTGTGAAGGCCATTTGAGAACTGGTATTTTTTCACCCAGAAAGAATTTCTTTGCGAGATTTGAAGTGTGCTTCGGGTCATTATTTTGCTGGAAGATTGATCTTAAGCGCATATTGTCTTCCATATAGGGTAGCATGACATGCTTTAGTATGTCTGTGTATAGAAACTTATCCACAATGCCATCTATTCTATGTAAAGGTCCCAACCCAAACCCCGAAAAGCACCCCCAAACCATAACAGACCCGCCTGCATGTTTGACAGAGGGCAAAGTCTACTTGGGGTTCAATCTTTGTCCACTAGGACGTCTAACGTAATGAACACCATCTGATCCAAACATATTGAACTTGGATTCGTCACTGAAACATATCATCTTCCAGTCACAGATGCTCCAATCAAGATGCAACCGTGCAAATTGTAATCGGTCCTTACGGTTTTTCCTCTGATCTAGCATTTAGTTTTCTAGGCCGACCACTTCTCTTAGAGGACTCCATAATACTTTTTTGTATATATTTGTTCAATGTTGCCCAAACTGCTTTACGCTTCAGCTTCAAATTTTTGGCAATGTCGACTTGACGTTGACCATCTTTGTATAACACAACGATCTTAGTTTTCACATCGAAAGAAAGTTCTGGACCACGCAGCATGGTCTTAAAATCACCCAACTTATTTCACAATACTTGATGAATACAAACTAGTCCTCTTCTGAAACGAAACTGTACTAAGCTGATGTTGAAAAGAATTTGTCTACATATTTTTGTCCCTCATAAAAAAGTGCTTAAATTCAGACTTGTATTGTGTTCATTGCAGATAATGTAACAGTAAGGAATTTAGTTTTTCTACTAATAAGGCATTTGTTTATGGAGCAATGAAGTATGAATTCGTTTTCTAAAGGTATTTAGGTGAATATTCATATTTGTCTATATACTTTTGTCCATTCCTGTACGTTATCATAAAAAAGTCCAGCCTTGACCATCAGCATACCAAATTACCGTAGTATACGGTGTGCTGTTGATATCGGACAAGATTTGTTTATGGATGTGTCAATGCTTCGCTGAGAATGGCTGTAGCTTCAATGAACATATTATTCTATCATAAATAGGCCTCTATAACATTCTAGAATTTTTGATAATCGTCTCAAATTAGCTGCTGAGCAAACTTATCCACCTTGTACATATTATATGTCATACACAAGATCTAGCATAAAATCCTAAAAGGAATATTCCACCAATTTCCCAACGTTAATTCACAACTTTCGTCAAAACGTTTTTAGGGCTGAGCGAATAAAGTCCATAATGAAATAAAAATATTAAGTCCACCGGTCATTTCGGGATCACGACCCTTTTCTGTTTTTGATTCCCTAAATCATAAAAAATGTACGACCTGGACCATAATCTGCAAAATATTTGGGTTGCCAGGCTTTATTTTTCTGCTGTTAGGGATACTGAGTAGACTACAAACGAGTTGAAAAGGTCTACGGTGGTGTGCAAGATATCCCTACTACTAGGGTCGTCTCAAAGTTTGCGCTTTTTTTTATCCTTGATCAGGTCGATGTATCAATCAGGCTTCAGCCGCAGTCCTCAAATTTAACGTGAAAGTGCATTATTTGAGAACTATAGATGAGTCTAAAGTTACAACAGTGGTAATGATAGACTCGATAGAAGCATTTGATTGCATTGACTGTACCTTCTCTTGGCAAAGCTTTCCTGTTTGGGATTATCTGAACAGATTCGTGGTTTCCACAATACTTACATGAAAGAGCCCAAAGGGTAAAGGTGCACGGCGAAGTATCAATACGCGATGTTCACAGGGGCATTCCGCAAGGATCGGTTCTAGCGCCTATTATTTCTTCGTTATACCTCTCAGACTTCCATTCTGCCATTAAAAACAGTTATCAAATTATATTTCTAATGCAAGTTCTTTGTTTACTAATCAAGGATTAATGCCAAAAAAGACAGCAATTGTTACCTTTAAGTCTAAAGCTAGTGAATTTGAAAGTACTACATTCGATGGTCGATTAATGGGGATACTGTGACGCATACAGCAAATATACGGGTGTAATTTTTTTACAAAGAAGTTCCAGGATCACGTAACGAAGTTCGTTACAGTGAGCAAAAAATATTTACAGCTTTAGAAATATAATATCGGTCCCCACTAAGGCCATATTAATAAACTATTAGAAATTGACCAAAATCGAGCATGCTGACTATAATTATGACGGAAACGAAAAATTAATTCTTGTGTTATGTTGTGTTTGGAAATGAAAAGCAGCACTTTTTCGCCAGGATAAATAAAGACATTATTATTATTATTTGACAAGACTAGATGTATCAAGATCTTAGTGCTGAGTACATGATGCAGCTCATACCTGATAGGCTTATAAGTAAAAAAAGATTCAAGTTCTCAGCCTTGTACTCTCCGCAGTACGAGGGATGTCTTTTAAGTTTTGCATATAGAAACATAGTAGGCCGCGCGAATCGAACGTCAGGACTGAATCTTAACCTCACTCTTTAGTAAACTTAAATTCAAAGTTTCACAACGATACGTGCAGTGTTCTCAATACGGTGAATTTTTAAGTGTCACCAAGTTATTAGAAAAATGGAACTCAACCGAGAACATTTTCGCGCCATAATTTATTACAACTTTCAGAGACAATTATCGCAACAAGAATGCCCTGCTGAGTTAATGTCTCTTTTCGGCAACGAAGCGCCACATCAGTCGACAATTTCCCGTTGGTATGAAGAATTCAAACGTGGCCGGGTGAGTCTTAGCGACGATCCCAAGGTGGGTCCACCAAAAACGGCAGTCACCCAGGAAAACGCCGATGCTGTGCGCAAACTCATCATTGAATATAGACATGTGACATATGGCGAGATTGAGGCGTTCTTAAAGATCTCAAAGACCTCAATTAAAAAAATTTTACATGAAGAATTAGGAATAAGGAAATTAGTTTCTCGTTTTGTACCCCACCTGTTGACTGAAGAGCAGAAAGCAGCCAGGGTCAATTGGTGTCAAAAAACACTTGACCGCCTCGATTCCGGAAACTCAAAAAATGTGTACATCATTGTTAGTGGTGATGAATCGTGGATTTATTGTTATAAACCAGACAATTGAATGACAGTCGGCTGTTTGGGTGTTCCAAGGTGAAGAAAAGCTAACAAAAGTCATCTGTTCTCGAAGTGTTTCGAAAAAGATGGTCGCGACATTTATGTCAACAGCGGGTCATATTGCAACAATTCCTCTTAATGAGCAAAAAACTGTTACTGCGGATTGGTATACCGCCATTTGTTTGCCAAAAGTCATCACCGAGCTTCGAAAAATCAACCCCGAAAAAAGAATCATCCCCCACCAAGACAATGCAAGCTGGCACACAGCCCAAAAAACAAGGCAGTATTTAACGGAAGAAAACGTGGAATTATTGGACCATCCTCCATATAGTCCTAACAATTTCTGTGCTTTCCCGAAAATTAAAACAGTCCACGTGGTGAAAGGTTCCAGTCACCAGAAGAAGCAATTGACGCATTCAAAAATGCCCATTTGGATCTGCCAGCAAACGAGTGGAATAAGTGCTTCGAAAATTGGTTCGAGCGCTTGCTGATGTGTATTAATCTTCGTGGAGAATACTTCGAAAAACAATAAAGTTATTCAAAAATACCTACAGTGTTGTTTTATTTCCATATGCAAAACTTAAAAGACATCCCTCGTATGTCGATAAGTTTACATTACGTCTTCGCCAATTATTTTGAAAAAACAAAAACTTGACCTGTCGATATTACAAAAAATATTTGGACACATTTAAGGATGCTTATATTTTCTTTATTTCAAGGTCTGCCTTTCACTTCGTACGCCACTGAGAAGAAACTGTTGCAATTGTAACAAAAATTGAAAATCGAATATCATGATTTTTTAATGTGATATTACCATGCCTCCCTGTCTATCTGTCTGTCAGACCGTTTGTCTTTCAGCCTTTCTATCGGCCTTTCTGTCCATGTGACTGTCAGTTTATTTGTCGGTCTGACTGTCCACTAATCTTTGGTCCATCTGTATCTTGGGACGTACCACTCGGACCTTACGGAAATTTTCATACAAAATCCCTACTAACATATCAAAGATGAAAATGGTTTGTACGTTCTAAGATCGGTCTAGTGGCGGCGGATGTAAAGGTGAAAAACAAAAAAAATATAAATAAAAACTGATCATACTTTGTTTTTTAAACATTTCATAGAATCCGGATCATTTTCAGAATAATTTTTACGAGGGCTAAAGATTGGCTTTTGGGCGGATTTTGCAGGTGGTCGGGAAGCGTATATGCATTTTTTTTGTTTCCAGCGCCAGTTATTCTACTCGCACATTAAACATATTTCATACATTATAGGTTTTCACTTACATTTGGCATTCAAACTTGATTGATAGAGATATGGTTCTTATATACTTGTGTCGGACAACTGAATAAACTTAAGTCCGTCCGCTTCGAATACTGAGGGATAACTGAGCGATGATGCGTGTACATATATTATATATGCAATGCCGTGCTGCGTTGCCTCTTTTCTGTTCCGTCCAAAGGGCGGTAGGCTAGATTGCAGTGTTGCCAAATATGTGGTGACTTGTATGACCCTGTCTCACTGACGTGCTCTATTTAGTTCATAGCCAAAAGAGGAGCTAGCTTGTGCCAAATTGATTACAGCGTGGCGTATGGAGTGCGAATCGACCTACCATTGGTGTTTTTGAATCAAGTTTCAGCTAGTTGAAACAAAATATATCATTGTTGTAAATTGCATAAAATATAGACTACCCTCATTTTTATGAGCCTCCGTGCCAGTGAACATAGGAATTTCACGCCCTGAATAGCTTCTAAAGTAAACTTGAACACGTACCAGGTGAAAACAAGCGAGACCGTTCTAATTATCCAGAGACGCTGCCGCCTGCTATCCAGACTGCCGTACAGGAAACTAAGTTCTGCTTCAGGAAAGTTTCTTTCATTGTACACAGGCAACGTCTGCACTTATTGGCTCCACTGTGTTGAATAGCCTACAAAACGAGAAACACTCGTTGCATTCCAGTGAGCTTTGGGCGGTCTTTTTATCTTTTGTTTTTTCTGGCTTGATACGTCAGGGGGTACTGTTAGGGCGATGGCTTGAAGCTGGAGAAATGTTTGTATTACCGCAAGATGCAAGAAGCTGATATATTTTACGAAAAGTGTTGTGACAATATCGTTCAGTAAATCTTTAAAATTATTCAGAGACGCTGGTGCTATCCAGAGTAGCTGTGTAGGGAAGTTCCTTTCATGGTGCACAAGCAGGGCCTGCTCGTCTTGACAAGAAAACACTTGCCGAATTCGTGTATACTTTGGCCGATGTTTTTATTTTTTTTTATATACAGGGTGGCCCATCCATATGTGGACGAAGCATTACTCATAAACAAATACATTTTGAAAACACCTATTTATGGGATGTTATACATGACATTTCAGGGCACATTTCTAAAATGTTGGCCATTATACAGGGTGTCCCAGTTTCGACCTTCATATCAAAGCTGTGATTTTTCAAATGGAATGCCTTAAGTTTTATTGCATATTTGAATAAACCAATTCAAAAGAAGAAAATTCATTCAACCTACTATGGGGTTTTGGTAATTAGCTACTGAGATATAAAGTGTTTTGTCTGGAAAACCCCCCACTTCGGCAACCCATCAGTCCGCCATTTTGAAATATGGTGTGCTGAATTTTGTATAAAAAAAACTTACACATCTCAGCTTTTATCTTATTTGTTACTTTTTCGAATTTTAATTTTTGCTCATACAAATGTAAATTGTAGTTTTTCTCAAATATTTCGAATGCATCATGGTGCATATTTGTGCGAGTTTGGATTCAATTTTTTTATAAGCTTTTTTTTGATACTAGTCACGTAAGTGTTTTTACGGCTATTTTTTCGGTTATTAGCACGTATTTTATGGAACGGCTTAATTCACTAAAATATCGCATCATCCTTGGAAACAAATAAATTGTTGATTAGCTACAAACTGTCAAAATTAGCTTTGTGGACGTTTTAATAAGAACGTTTTCATTGTTGTCACCGTAATTTTTTAAATTGAATTGTTTATGGTTATGAATTGCATGATTTTCTTCAAATCAGCATATATTCTTTAATAATTGAAATATTGACATGAATCAAAAAAAGGACAGTTGAGAAAAGTTAAGGCTTGAAATTCTCACACAAAGACACATTATTCAGTAATCCAATGTTTCCACTTCAGTCGGTAATCATGACAATTAAATTGCTTACAACTTGACAACAAAATTATCGAAATTGATGCAAATGTTGAAAAGTTATTTCAAATTTAATTTGAACAAAATTTTGTTTATCCGTTTAATTTTGCGTGGCAGATTGTCAATTTTAACTTATTTGTGAAGTCACTTAAAAAAAATTTTGTTGATCAATGTTTTTATAGCGTTGTTGAATTCATCCTGTTTCAACAAAACATATTGCATCGCAGCAAAATAACGAGGATACCAGTCCAAATCGCATCATATTGGTGCTGCTTGATTTTTTACTTATGAAAAGCAAGGTTTTTCTGCATCCCGATAACCCTCGGTTCACCGCTAAAGCAGATCCCTATAATTCAGTACTTTTCACCATATTACCTCGCAACTTTGGCCATTGCTCAAAATTCCCCGGCACTATTCCAAATTAAATGTGCTCTCCAACATACACCCGTTAATAAAACCTAAAATCCTCTGTGTCCAAGTACGTCGTGCATTTGTTTTAATCCGAAAGGACTTGAATGGGGAAGAAAAGAGTGTGCTCTGGAAGAGAAAAATTCCTGGCCGGGATTTCTATGGAATGCCATTTTTGCGCTGGCGCTTTTTAGCTTCCGCGACGGTGTTCTTAGCAGAAAAGGATACGAGGATACGTGGAACGGACATCTCATATATTGCTCTAGCACAGATGTCCAGGAAAATAGAAATAAATAAATTTCGGACGTCGGAAGTTATGAAATGTGTACATTGTGACGGAGATACGGGGCAGGGCCGGACTCGCCGCTTGGGATGCGTCAACAATGGAGGTAGAAAAGTAGAATATTCTTCGATGATATTTTGGTGAACCTTGGTGGAGTTATAAGCGTGATTTTTTCTTTTTGCCCGACTGCCTCAGAAGACTTTAAAGTATTTTTTACTCTTATATGAGAGCAACACTCTCCACTTTAAGCCAATAATAAAACGCATTAAGACACAAGTCATATACAAAAATGAAAAGACTATCATTTTTAATTTGAGCACAGTCTTGCAATACCTCTATTTTCACATATGTTCTGTGTCTTGATCTATTTCATTAAAGATTTGAAGTAGAAAGTGTTATGATCATGCTTCCATATAAAAATACTAGGTATCTTACTTGAAAATGGGTGAATTTTGAACAAAAAATGACGATAATGCAAATTTTGAGCTACATTCAAGTAGGGAAATCGAAAGTAAAATATCGTTTGAAATACATTGATTCTTGAATATTTGAATGCAAATGTCTCACAGACGCGATCAGCTTGAAATTTGAGCTATTTTCACAGTTAAAATCCCGCTTATAGACTCTGATCCTTTGTTTCAGCACAAAGCAAATAAAGCTGTTACTGACCCTAAAGTAGACAAGCCACGCAGCTCGTATAAAAAATTTGCTAACAGCCACACAGTTTCTGTCTCTTGGGTTATTGATGTGGCAGCTGAAACATTATTATTAGATAATTTCGAATATCAAATATTTTATTCTCTTCCTCAAATGCTTCCATCTATACTAAGTGACATATAAATCCGAACACCCAGTTTAAATGGTTTTATTTTAATAAAATTTTGTATAAGTAGTTAATGAAGCATAATAAGTAAATCATAAAAATTTCAAAATGATTGCACTGCTTTAAAGCCCTTTGACCTTTAATAATGTGTGTATGCACCCTGATGTGCTACGCATTCTCCAACGCGCCTAGGCATGCTTCTGATCAGGTGGTCAATGTCCTCCTGTGGTATCTCATTCCAGGAAACCACCAACTCCTCTCGAAGTGCTTCTAGAGCCTGAGGAGGACGTTGAAAATTGAGCAATCTCCTACCCATCATATCCCACACGTGCTCAATTGGGGATAAGTCGGGAGATCTTGGTGGCCATGGTAACAATGTGACATCATTATGTTGAACGAAGTCTATTGAGACTCTTGCAACATGTGGTCGGGCATTAGTTTGTTGGAAAGTTGGATCTGCCAGGGTGTCAAGATAGGGTAAAAGATGGGGTTCTAGAACTTCGTGGATATAACGCTGCGCATTCATGTTACCTCTGATGAAGATTAAACGTGACCTGGAACCATAAGCTATAGCACCCCAAACCATAACTCCAACAGTGTGATGAATATGTCTTTCAACAAAAAACTGTGTATTCCTCCTATCACCACGTCGCCTTCTAACCCTGGCACGACCATCGTGCATGCCTAAAGAAAATCAAGACTCGTCACTAAAGACAATACTGTTCCATTCCTGATCCCAGAGTGACCGTTGTCTGCACCACTCAAGGCGATTACGTCGGTGTTCTCGAGTTAAAGGGAGGGCCCAGTGTGGCCGGTATGAAAACAAGCCAAAACTTCTCATTCGTCGGTAAACACTTCGC